AACTGAAAGAAAGCTGGATGCCTTATGCAGCGCCCCCAGGCCCCGTTTTGGGCCTAGAAGGCTTATGCACCACCCTGGAAGCCAAAACAGGGGGCGTAGACGCTGCTCAAGCATCCAAAATGCAATGTGAGCACCTCCCCTCGTGCATGCTCTCTCACTCTCCTGCACACACACATCCCCCATATACCCCCTGCCCTCCACGCATGTGTGTCAGAGACCCAAAGACCAGCTGGCCGGCAGTAGGAGTGCACGCATGCATGGTGGAGCTGTGCTGGGCAACAGCTGCCATGCCCGCAGCTGCATGCCACCTGCCTTGATCCCATCAAGGCTCTAAAATGTTACTATGTCTTGCAATAATTGCCATTCCCAGTGGCCTGCTTTTAAGGACCTCTTAAAGAAAGTGTGTAAATAATAAAAAGGTGAATTTCTTTGTAACACATAGTACCATGATACTAGCTGAAATTATTGTAGCTGCATTCATAGAAGATTAATTATTGTGGTCTTTTCTGTGGAATCTTAAATCAGATAATTGTAGGAAAACAAATATGTTATTTTGTTTTATTGCAATTAAAATAATTTCAAGCAAAACCACTTCTATTAATAGGAAGCACTATTGTTGGCTTTGGAAGACATCAATGTTTTATTTTCCATTGCTCAGCAACAACACACTGTGTGAACATTCAACTGTAGAATAAAGAGTACCAAAGAAATGATCGAAAATCAAATCTGAATTTTCTTTTATTCAATGGGATCATCCTAATCCATCCTGAAGCAAAACCTATTCAGTTATATATTCTATATGAAACAATCCTGCAATGTTAGAAATATGATAATCATGAACCTGTGTTTCAGCATAGCTTTCAGCTTTTTATTAAGGTTTGAAATTCTCAGTTTAGGAATACTCATTAGAATGCCACATTAGCTATTTTTAATCCTATCTTTACCTCAACTTCCCACAGAGCTTTTGAGCTAGTTGCAGAAGTGGCTGACTGCCTCCCAGTAGTTCTCAGAAAAACATGTTGCTTCTTTCGATGTTCATCACAAGTAAGAAATTTCTCCTGCTCTGCATGGAACAACCGTACCACATCACCCTGTGAGGACAATGAAAGATCAATCAACAGAAGTTTCGATCATGTTTTTGTGAAAAACTTAGTGATGAGGTACATCTTTCAACTTACTCCTTTGAGAATATCATCCTTATTGTCACTCCATTTCATAAAAAGAACTATTTTCCAGCTTGTATTGCAATTCACTGAATTTACCTACAAAAATAGAATGCCACAGATAAAACAAGAATACAAAGACACACAACATGATGTACAATTAATTGTCCCTCTTGACAATTATCTGGAAAACTAAAAGGTGCATCAATTATTTCTAACTTACCTCATTGCAGCCTGGGTTATCCACTAGTTGATGGCTACTGGCATGCAAAGGTTGGCCAGCATTAACAGGATTTAAGACTACCTTGTCCCCAATCACCACCTGTAAAAAAAGGTTTTGATTTTCAATTACCTTTGCAAAGGCAATGTTGTATAAAGCTACCACTACAGGGAACTGGCTGCAAATTTTTTGGAAATCAACATCATTGATTTAGTGTATCAAAAGTATTAAGAAATAAAGTAACATTTTAGGGTATCAAAAGTATTAAGAAAGTATTAAAAAAATAAAGTAACATTTTAAGTAAAAATAACATTATTTAAGCCATG